TCCAAACTGACCCAGCTCACTGTGTCTTCCTTCACCTGTCAGCGGATTACTAGCAAACAGGAAGCAGCAGGTGAGGCTGGGGAAAACCACATCCAGCATCTGGACAATAAGCACAGGAGCTCCCCAGGGATTTGTGCTCTCCCCTCTGCTGTTTTCACTCTACACCGACTGCATTTTAAAGGACCCCTCTGTCAAAGTCCTAAAGTTTGCTGATGATACAGTGGTCATTGATCTCATCCAAGATGACGAGTCAGCCTACAGACAGGAGGTTGAGCAGCGGGTCCTGTGGTGTAGCCACAACAACCTGGAGCTGACCATGCTCAAAACAGCAGAGATGACAGTGGACTTCAGGAAGAGCCCTCCCACCTTACCCCCACTCACCATACTTGGCAGCACTGTATCAGCAGTAAAGTCCTACAAGTTCCTGGGCTACAATACCTCCCAGGACCTGAGGTGGACATCCAACATCAGGACCATCATCAAGAAGGCACAGCAGAGGATGTACTTCCTGGACCAGCTCATGAAGTTTGACCTGCCCAGGAGCTGCTGATACAGTTCTACAGAGGAATCATTGAGTCTGTTCTCTGCACCTCCATCACTGTCTGGTTTGGCTCAGCAACCTATCAGGAGAAGTACAGACTTCAGTGGACAATGAGGACTGCAGACAAGGTCATTGGTGTGAGCCTGCCCTCCATTGAGGACCTGTATATCATATAATACCCCATTTCTTTTATTGGACAGATCTGAATAATGAAGGAGTCCATCTTTCTTCATTTTAGTGCTGATTTATTTCAAACCATAAGCAAAATTACAAACACAACCCGGGTTGCTCCTTCCTCCAGAGACACACACACTGGCTGCTGGAAAAAAAAGCCCCGGAAACACAGATCCTACTACAGTACATTTATAAATTTTGGGCTAACCCCTGTTGGACCTGGTACTTTTAACCATGCTAACCCTGAGAGACAAAGCAGTCCAAGTACTATAACTTCAAAACAGTGCTGATTTATTCAATGAACACAGGTAAAAATTAACATTACATGCCTCCAACATGCACGCAGGCAGCTGAAAGATGAAAAGCCCTGAACCATAACAGGCCTATACATTATATCACTTCAGGCTAACCCCATTTTACACAGAAAGATGCCAAACCGTGACGTCTCCCGGTGCCAGCTTTGCAGTAGATTTTCGTCTAATAGATGGTATTGTGGAATTCCAGATTCCACTTCCATCTTCCACTTCCACCTTCCATCTTCCACATTTAATACTAAGCCGTAGGGCAGCCAGAGCCCAATGGTATTGTGGAGAAGTGTAGCACCGGTCTGTCGCATGGAGGTGCAGTGTGAGGGGCGTGTGGCGCCTCTCTGTAGCCCAGCAATGGAGCGTGATTTCTGGGTGCGAAGTGTGGGTGTGTGCCGGTTCTCTGTAGCCCAGCTTACAGAGCTCCCATCTGCCGGGAGAAGTGTAGCACCATGCGCATGGAGGTGGAGTGTGAAAGGCGTGTGGCGGCTCTCTGTAGCCCAGCAATAGAGCGTGATTTCCAGGTGTACCAGGGGCACGAGCTCCCAATGGGATTTTAACCAGTGCTACTACCACCAAGAGTACCAGTGCCACTAGAGCCAAAAAGCTGTCAAAATGTTAAAAAGGTGGAGTACATTGGAATTGGAACATCCTAAATTTCTGGTGTCTGTCTGTCTGTCCCACTGTTTCCACAGAGAACCAGCTTGATGCGGCCCTGGAACAGAAATTTATGATGGCTGCCAGGACAAATATTCCTAAACTATTTGGTAAGAAGCTTTTGTCGGCCGCAGGCCCCTCCGGTTACCTATATACATATATTTATATATTGTATATTGTGTTTAGCAGAATCTTTGACCTGCAATGGACCTCAGGGGGACGAGCATTCTGTGGTCACTGGCTACATCATGGGCTACCTCTGCATCCTCACGGGGCACAGATCCATTGCACTCACTAACATGACCAAGGAAAGTGTGGTCAGCTGT